TGCTGGTTGTTTGGGGTGAGATCACAGCGCCTGTTTTTCAGCAGAGGCTGGAGGAGGGAAGGAGCCCGGCGCTTTTGGGGTGGCTGCTGGGGTTTGGGAGGGTTTGGGTCGGATTTTTTAAATGAAATCAATAAATCTGTGTCCCCTTCAGGGGCTGCTGGGGGCGTCTCAGTCCGTGCTCCGCTGCGGCCGGAAAATCGGTGGGATCATGGAATGGGTCAGGTTGGAAAAGCGCTCGGAGGTCATGCAGCCCTTCCCAGCAGTGCCAGGGCCACCACTGATCAATGTCCCCAATGCCACCACTGATCAATGTCCCCAAGTGCCATGACTGATTGGTGTCCCCAACTGCCACCACTAACGAATGCCATCAAGTGCCACCTCCACTGGGATTTGTCCCCAAGTGCCACCACTAACGAATGTCCCCAAGTGCCACCTCCACTGGGCTTTGTCCCCAAGTGCCACCACTGATCAATGTCCCCAAGCGCCACCACTGATCAATGTCCCCATGTGTCACCTCCACTGGTTGGTGTCCCCAAGTGCCACCACTGGTTGGTGTCCCCAAGCGCCACCACTGATCAATGTCCCCAAGTGCCAACTCCACTGAGCTTTGTCCCCAAGTGCCACCACTGATCAATGTCCCCAAGTGCCAACTCCACTGGGCTTTGTCCCCAAGTGCCACCACTGATCAATGTCCCCAAGTGCCACCTCCACTGGGCTTCGTCCCCAAGTGCCACCACTAACAAATGTCCNTTTTGTACCAGGGGAGGTGCTGGCTGTGCCAAGCTCCTGGGAGAATGGGGGAGCCTGCACTGGGAACTTGGGGAAAGGATCATGGAGAAACAATCCGGGCATTTTTTGCGAGTTGGCATTTTTTTTAGGTGACCCCTTTTGCTTCCTTTTTTTTTTTTTTTTTTTTTTTCCCCCCATTGGAATAACCCTTTTTAAGGAGAAGCTGATCCAGAGCTTTGTTGGGAGCCCAGCTTCCATGGCTGTTGGATCAGCTGCACCCTGGGCCAGTTTTTGGTGCCGTCCTTTAATGTGGAGGTGTCTGGAGGTGATGGCTGAGCCCCATTCCAGTGGGAACCCCTGATCCCTGTGCTGGGAGGATGGATGTGGGACACAGCCCCAGCTGCAGCTCCCTGGCTTTGCCATCCCTTGGCATCAGCTTCCCTGTGGCTCCCTGTCCCTCAGTGTCACCCCTGGCTGCTTTTCCTGGAGCTTCCCTGCACTTTTCCTGGAGCAGCTCCCGTGCTGGAGCTGCTGTCCCTGCTCAGCTGGAACACCTGAGGCATCCAGGAGGGATGAAGGGGCTTTAATAGCAAAGGAAAAATGATGGGAAAAAATTCCCAAAGTGATGGAAAGGCAGCACCTCCCTGCCAGGCATTCCCTGAGCCAAGGCCACCTTTCCAAAACTTTTTCCCTGTGTTTTTATCATTTGCTTGGGATAATCCCCTTCCCAGCTTCCCATGGCCTCATCCCTGCTGGGAGCAGAGTGGGAAAAGGGAAAGGCTCCGTGCTGTGCTGGGAGCACTGGTTTAGCCCCAGCCCCAAATCCCAGTGTGGGAAAAGGGAATTCCATCCCACCCAGACCCAGCGTGGCGCTGCCAGGACCTGCAGCTCCATCCCAACGTCCTGAAGGATTTTTTTTCCCCCCCAATTCCCATTTTTCCTGAGCCTGGGATTGTTGGATCCAGGGATTGTGGGATCCAGGGATTGTTTTATCCAGGGAGTGTGGGATCCAGGGATTGCTTTATCCAGGCATTGTGGGATCCAGGGGTTTTATCCAGGGGCTGTAGGATCCAGGGATTGTTNCCCTTTTTTTCCCTGCAGAGCTGTTCCAGGTGCCGGTGATCGGCCTGACCCTGCCCATCATGTGGTTCTACCTCCTGATGAACGTCATCACCCAGTATCCTTTATCCCTGATCCCACCTTTTGTGGGGTGGCACTGCAGGGCTGGGGCTGCCTCTCAGTCCTTGGAGTCCTCCCTGCCCTCGGGAATTGCTGTTGGTGGAACTCTGAAAATATGGGGAAAGGGAATTTTTGTTTTTTAGGTTGGACTTGATCTCAAAGGTCTTTTCCAGCCTGGTTTGTTCTGGGATTCTGGCACTCCTGCTCCATGGAAGTGGAGGAGTTTGGAGCTTCCAACTCAGCCCTGCTGCTCCAGAGGGGGAATCAGATTTGGGCTTTCCCTGAGTTTGGTGTGTCCCATTCCAACCCAGCTGATCCCAGGAGGGAATTCCCCCATCCACACCAGGCTGCCCATCCCCTGCTCCTCCCCATTCCCAAAGGGAATCCCAGTTTCCATCCCTGCTGTCCCTTAGCTGCTGCTCCCAGGAGGAAGAAAATCCTTGGAGTCTTCCCTGAAATGTCCTGCCCTCCTTGAGAGCTGCTGTTGGTGTAACTCCAAAAATGCAGGGAAAGGGAACTTTGGTTTTTAGGCTGGACTCAGTGATCTCAAAGGTCTTTTCCAGCCTGGTTCATTGTGGGATTATGGAACTCCTGCTCTGTGGAAATGGAGGAGTTTGGAGCTTCTAACTCAGCCCCAGCTGCTCCAGTGGGGGAATCTGGGATTTGGGGTTTCCCTGAGTTCATAGCATCCTGTTCCAGACCATCTGATCCCTGGAGGGAATTCTTCCCATCCACACCAGGCTGCCCATCCCCTGCTCCTCCCCATTCCCAAAGGGAATCCCAGTCTCCATCCCTGTTCTCCCTTAGCTGCCGCTCCCAGGTACGTCTGCATCCGCGGCGTGTTCATCCTGACCACGGAGTGCACGTCGCTGACGGTCACCCTGGTGGTGACGCTGCGCAAGTTCGTCAGCCTCATCTTCTCCATCCTGTACTTCCAGAACCCCTTCACGGGCTGGCACTGGCTGGGCACGGCCTTTGTCTTCGTGGGCACGCTGATGTACACGGAGCTGTGGCACGGCC